CTACTACGACTATTACTACTAATACTGCTGCTACTATTACGACTACGAGCACTACTGCTACTCCGACGACTACTGCTCCTGTTGTTACTACTACTACTACTACTACTACTACTTCTACTACTACTACTACTACTACTATTACTACGGCTACGACTACGGCTGCTGCTACTACTTCTGCTACTACTACGACCACTGCTACGGCTACTTGTACGGCGATCACGACTACTACCACCACTGCTACTACTACTACTACTACTACTACTACTACTACCGCTACTACTACTAGTTCGACGACGACGCGTACGACTAGTACTGCTCCTACTACGACTATCACTATAACCACCATTACAACTACTACTACTACACCCACTACTACTACAACCATTATCACCACTTCGATTACGACTGCTACTTCTACTACTACGACAGCTATGATTCCTACTACTTCTATTATCTGTATGTTTCTCCTTGCCCTCCTTCCCCTTCTTATGCTAGTACTGCTACTACTATCATCTTATATGCACTATCACTACAGCTACTACGACTATTGTGACTACATCCACCATTTCTGCTACTAGTAGTAGTACTACTACTACTACTACGACTACTACCACTGTTACTACCGCACTTACTAATATATTACTACTACTGCTCGTGTTACTACGACGACGACTACTACTACTACTACTACTACTACTACTACGACTACGACTACAACTACGATTTCTATTGCAATTCTTAGTTCCATCATTACTACTACTACTACTACTACTACTACTACTACTACTATTACTACGACGGTTACGACTACTACCACTACTATTACTACACTGCTCCTACTACTATCATTGCTCCGTCTGCTACGACTACTACTACTACCACTACTACTACCATTGCGACTGCTAGTGCCCTTGCTGCTGCTACTCGTACTACTACTTACTACCACTAGTACAACTACCTCTGGTACTACTACTACTTCTATTGCTACTACTACGGCTACTACTACTGCTACTCATACCATTACTACTACTAGTACTACTGCTACTACTACTACTACTACTACCACTACTACTACTACTACTACTACCACTACTACTACTACTAATACTACTACTACTACTACTACTACTTCTACTTCTACTGCTACTACAACGACGACTACCACTACTACGACTACTGCTACTATCACGATTGCTACGACTACTACTACTACTACTACTACTACTATTACTACTACTACGACTGCTAGTATTAATATACTTACTAGTACTATATTTACTACTACCACTACTACTTCTTTTTCTACTGTTACTACCTCTACTACCTCTACCACTACTACTACTACTACTACTACTACTACTACTACTACTACTACTACTACTACTACTACTACGACTACTACTACTACTACTACTACTACTACTACTACTACTACTACTACTACTACTACTACTACTACTACTACTACTACTACTACTACTACTACTACTACGACTACTACGACTACGACTACGACTACGACTACTACTACTACTACTACTACTACTACTTCTACTACTACTACTACTACTACTACTACTACTACTACTACTACTACTACTACTACTACTACTACTACTACTACTACATACTACTATGACTCTTACTATTACTATTGCGAGTACGACTACGACAACCACAGCTACTTCTACTACTTCTATCACCATTACCATCATTTCTATCGTAGTAGTCGTGGTTGTTGTCGTCATTGCCGTCGTCTCGGAGGAGATGTTTGTCCCCTCTATTGTTGTGCGGGATGGATACCGTTGAGGGGCCTATCTTCCAAAGAGTGATCCGCTGTGGCGTACCCCACTTGCGAGTGGATTCGTGGGAATCTTCTCATGAGGATTGTGGCACGAAGCAGTGAATGGTCATGACTGTTGACGCCACTGTAGTCGTAATCGTCGCCGCGACTGTAGCCGCAATCGAGAGCGTAATCTTAGTCGTGGTCGTAAGGGTCGTCGTCGTTGTTGTGCGGCGAGTGCCGAAGATAAATAATTATGTGCGCCTTCTGGTACGGCCACATTCCATCAATAAGGGCGTCGACAAGATAGCTCGTATCCGCGATTGGGTAGTCAAGCAATCCAGCGAAGGGGCCGATCGCTAGTCCAGGGAAGGAAAGGGATGGCAGGAGGAGGAGGAGGAGCAAGAAGAGGAACCGTGACCGGCGCAGCCGTGACGCGTTGAGGATTTCAGAGTGATCCCGGGAGGATTCGCATTGATTCTTGCAGCTGTCCGAAGTCTTCCTTGGAGATTGGTGCAGGATTCCTAAAGGGCGCCTGGGAGATACTGCGGGGATTCGTGTGTTCCTGAGGATGCCTGCGGGTGTCTGAAGGATTCTTGAGGGGTCCTGAAATTTCTTCAAGGACTTCTGCAGATTCCCGGAAGGTTCGCGAGGACCCCTCAGGATTCCTGCCGCGGACTCCTGGAGAATTATGTGGGGGATGCGAAATGATCCCTGAAGGGCTCCTGAGGACTCCTGCCGATTCCTGAAAAATCTACACATTCCTGCATGAGGCTGGAGGCTTCTTGGCGGATTCTTCATGGATTTCTGAAGATTTATTGCACGGCGCCCGCGCTCCTAGGGCCACGATTCATGGGAAATGACGGTGCCTGGGTACTACCAGGGCCACGATTCCCCCTTGGGAATTTCTTGATCTATATATAGTTATATATATATATACATATATACACACACACACACACGGTGCGCCAACGTATCATGGAGGATCATTTCGGTGGTATCCCCCCTCCAGAACTAATTACGGGTTTCGGTACCATCGATGACACGGGGGAAATCGACAATTGTTTCATATGGCTAGCGGGGGGGAAAAGGTGGAGGACGAGAAAGAGGAGGAGGAGGTGGAGCAGGAGGATTTGAGCAGAAGGGAGGACGGGCGGGGTCAGGGAGCGAGCGCAGGAGGAGGAGGAGGAGGAGGAGGAGGAGGAGGAGGAGGAGGAGGAGGAGGAGGAGGAGGAGGAGGAGGAGGAGGAGGAGGAGGGCGACGACACCAGCGATGAGAACGGAGCAGGGAACAGCAGCGATAACAGGATCACGATTAGCGTGAGCAGGTGTAGGAGCACAGGGGCTAAACGCACGAGCGGGGGACTGAGAAAACGGTGCAGCGGCAGGTGGCATAGAGGGATAGGGGGAGGAGGAGAGTCATGGTCGGAGTGCGGGGAGCCTGCTCTTGCGAATTGTTTCGTGCCAGATATGTGTGAGTTGGATTGAGAGCTGAGTCGAGTGTGCCTGCTTCGGTTGCTGAGGCGAATGATGCCGTCGTGTAAGGGGCGCAAGCTGCACCCTACCTTCTACTCTCTGGTGGGACGTCATAGGCTGCCGCCCATGAATCCAGCAAGCGAGAGCAGGTCCCACAGTATAAGTGGCACCCGTTGCTGGGAACCTGTTCTTTGGGACTTTGTGGGCGAGGCCCTGTCGGAGTGACCTCATGGGCGGGACCCACTGCGAACTCCATGTGACCCTGGCCGCCCGCCGCCTGAAAACACCTGGCGTTACGAAATAACAACGGCAGTTCTTGCTGGCCGAGGGCGCGAACCCACGAGCGCAACCACTGCTCTGCAGTGCAGCACACTGGGCAGCCCGTCAGGCCCGTATGCGTCCGCAGGGGTCATGGGCACGGACGCCTCCCCGTCCCGAGCACGCGCGTTTTGCCCCCCCCCCCCCCCCCCCCCCCCCCCCCCCCCCCCACCCCCCCCCTCCCCTCCCCCCCCCCCGTGCGCGCCCCAGGAGTCCGAGAAGGCGGAGCGGCTGCGCGCGCGGGTGGAGAAGGCGAGCTCCACGCCTGGTGGCAAGCTCCCGCTCAAGATCAGGAGCGGGTCCGCTTCGCGAAGGCAGAGCAGATGGAGCTATACATATATCTGTATATATATGTAGATATATATGTATATATATGTGTATATATGTATCAAGAGAGAGAGAGAGAGAGAGAGAGAAAAAAAGAGAGAGAGAGAGAGTGAGAAATAAAGAAAGAAATATAGAGAGAGAGAGAGAGAGAAAAAAAAAAAGAGACAGACGAGAGCGAAAGAGAAACAGACATGAAGAGGAAGGGAGGGAGGGAGGGAGGGAGGGAATTGACGATAGAAGGCGTGGGGGAGAGCACGAGGGAGGAGTGGGAAAGGGTATGAGAGGGTGCGGAGCGGAGAATGGGGAAAGGATTAAATCAGATCGATCGGACGAGAGGATGGCGGGACATGAAGAAGGCACACCAGACAGGCCCGCCTCGGCCACGGAAATCATTGAGGCGAGGTAGTGAACAAAAAGTGAGCCCGTTAAAAAGCGGCCTTGCTCGGCAGATTGAGAGGTACAGCGCATGCCACTCGTGACAGGTGGATCTCCAATGAGGTGGTAGCTGTGAATGTCTGTGCTTCTGGGTATGCGGGCGCCTCTTGAAACACCTGGCTGCTCGAAGACTTGCACTTGGCTGCACGTGGCTGCTTGGCGTGGATTGCGCGGTGGTGGCAGACCCTGGAGGATTCTCTACATACTTACTGAGGGCGGTGGTGATATCCATAGCCAACCCACGATTTGAGTCCCACTGGCTTCAGACCCTGGATTCCTTATCCAGTGGTTCCTTATCCAATGCCCTCACCGTGCACTCGCCCTGTCTACGAAGAGAGCCGATCTCTAGAGACAGGTCTGGGTTTTTCCGCATGGCTGACCCCAAGAGGCTCCGCTCGGCTCGCCGTCTTGATCCTCCTGCTCCCACTGCCGTTCCTCGGCGGCGAGCGAGGGGGGGAAGTGAGAAGGAGAAGGCCTTCTCAGAAGGCGGCGGGACTTCTCAGACGCCCTCGCGCATTCTGAGAGATTCTCTGTGTCTTCGGGGGAGGCTCAGAAAGCTTCCCGGAAGGCCGTGGGACTTCCGCGCCTTCTGAGAGGGCCCGCCCCTTCTCACTTCCCCCCCTGGCACGCCACCTAGTTCCTGCTCGTCCTGCTTCCCACCAGCCATTTTGGCTCAGGCGGCTTGACCTCGGCAGGGAGCCAGGACCACTCCTGCCGGAAAACGATGCTGCAAACCGAGGCCGCAGGCGCCAGGGCAGTTGCTGCCGTTGCCGCTCGCCCGGGCGGAACAACTCAGCGGGCACAATGGTCTGTTCGCATGCAACTCCTGGGAGGTCAAGTTCTGCTTTTGCCCTGGTCCGAAATCCGGCTCCATCCCGCTTAGTCCCACCTATTCCGGCTGAATTCCGCTTAATCCATTGCCTAATCCGGCGTAGCAGCCCCACAATAGGGTTTAAATATTTCGAATTTTTCCAGCGAGAACTTCCAGGTAGTTGCCTCCTAAGGTCTGAGCGGGGCACTGCCCAGTCGCTGCGGCTGTTGGCATCAGACCGCGGCAGCGCCACGCGGCGAGCGCTGCCTCCGGCGGTGTACAGCGAGGTTCAGGAGCGAAAGAAGGACCTACAAGTACATGAATCCATGATGGCTTCGAGGGTACGCATTGCGCGAACGTCCGTATCATGCGGCTGGTCTCGCGGATTGAGAGGCTGTGTTCATATACATTGTTGGGCGAATACGTCTTTTGTGGGTTCTCTAGAGGTGGTGGCCCCGTTCCTCCGGTTCGACGCCGCCGTGCCCGATCAGCTCTATGCCGTCGGCGGCCGGAACGAGAGCCAGGGGCCGCTGGATACGGTGGAGATGTTCGAGACGTGGCACGGGAGGTGGGAGGAATGCCCGCGCATGTCCACCAGGAGGTGCTTGGACAAGGCTAGGACGAGGATGACTCCGTTCCAGAGCGTTCCCGAACGCTCTCAGAGCCTTCCGGAACGCTCTGAGAAGGCCGCGGCGCTCGAGACATCTTTCAGGGCCGCCGGACCTCAGAGATTTTTTGATTTATCTTCATCCTCATATGATCTATGATCTTATCTTGATTTATGATTTTGATTTATCCTCATCCTCTTGATTCTTGATTCTGGATTCATCCCCAAATGATTTAATCCTCGTCCTGGCTACGTCTTAGGTGCGGTTGCGCTGCTGCGGTGCTGCCCGACGGGCGCCTGATGGTGTCAGGCGGATACGACGAGAGGGGGAGCGTCTTGGGGGTCCTGGCCAGCAGCGAGGCTCGGCGGCGAGCGAGGGGGGAAGTGAGGAGGGGCGGGCCTCCTCAGAAGGCTCGGAGGTCCCCCGGCCTCCTGCGAAGTCTCCCAAGCCTTCCCCGACGACGCAAAAAATGAACCTCTCGGAAGGCCAGAGGCCTGCTGAGAAGCCCCGGCGCCTTGTGAGAATCAGGAGGGGAAAAAACACACAGACACAATCAATCGGCGATTCCCAGAAAATATGGGAAAATATGGGAAGTGGGGGGGAAGACAGAAACCCAGAAAATATGGGAAAATATGGGGGATATTTTTATTTGTGTGTATTGATTTGTGTGTTCCAGTTCCCCTTCAGAGAAGGCCCCCTCCTTCTCATTTCTCCCCCTCGCTCGCCGCCGAGAGGTGTTCGACCCCGTCAGGCAAGCGTGGGCCCCTGCTGGCGGCCAGCTGCAGCGGCCGCGCTTCGGCCACGGCAGCGCGGTGCTGAGCGGGAAGGTCTACGCCGTCGGGGGCTGCGCCCTGCGGAGCCGCAGCGGCGCGCCGCCGGGCGACGACGTCAGGGAGACGCTCCGCGACTGCGAGGTTCGACTATCTAGGCCTCCTAGATGGGGTCGGAGTAGATGGGGTCGGAGGATCGCGCCGCATCGCCGATACATCGGCGATGCATCGGCGATGCGGCTCGATGTGGGGCCCGTCTTTCTCCACGCCCACGTCGCCGATGCATCGCTCACGTCGCCAATGCATGGCCGATGCATCGCCGATGCATCAGCGATGCATCGTCGATGCATCGGCGATACGGTGAGATCCTCCGACCCCATCTACTCGGACCCCATCCAGGATGCCTCTAGACTAGGCGTGAGAGTGACCTTTCGCTGGAGTGACCTCTGGTGCGGGCGCTCTGGGGCCCCCAAGTGGCTCGATGCGAGGCGGCAGCAGCGCCTTTGCGCGCTCGGGTGGGGGCCTCCCCGCGGCCCCCCCCAACAAAGCCGCGCACCAGAGGTCACCTCTTGCCCAGGGTCACTCTTCCCCCTCCTCCTCCCTCCTCCTCCTCCTCCTCCTCCTCCTCCTCCTCCTCCTCCTCCTCCTCCTCCTCCTCCTCCTCCTCCTCCTCCCTTCCTCTCCGTCTCCCTATGCGTGTAGCCGAGAGGTATATGATCTCGGGGAGCAGGCCTGGTCTTCCATCCCCAGTCTCTGCGTCGCTCGCGGCGGCGCCCGCCTGGTCGTGCTGGATGCCCACCGCCTTGCAGCGGTCGGCGGCTGCGACGACGTGTTCGGCCGGCCTGAGATGTTGGCCAGCGTGGAGGTGTACGACACGGGGTCGGGCACCTGGACGGTGCTGCAGGAGCAGCTGTCGGTGCCCAGGACGACGTCCGCGGCAGCGGCCCTGGACGAGCACCGCATCATCATCATGGGCGGGGCCCCCTCTCTGTCTTCCGTGGAGATCTTCGACGTTGCTGGCGCCGGGAAGTGTGGCGAGGCAGCAGCCCAGCCCTCTTCGTCCAGCGGCGGAGGGGACAAGGAGTTGGCCGACATGACAGAGGGCCGCATGGGATGCATGGCGGTGCTCATGAGGCTGCCCGAGGCGGGGAACGATTATCCCCTCTGCACGAGGCCCAGCGTGGTCGTCGTGGGTGGCGAGAACGGCGACGACTGCGACGACGATCAGGAAACGGCATGTCAGTTCAACAGCGTCCTCGTCTACGACGTGGAGGACAACGTCTGGAGGTCCGAGCGGCCCTTCCCGCCGATGCCAACGCCACGCACGGCGATGGCGCTGTGCGTGGCGCCTGGGCTGGTGCGCGGGTTCGTGAGCTGAGGCAAGTGGAATGAGACTCCGATTTGAGGTTACAGGCTTCAGTGCACGCGGCGGGCGCGCAGATTTCGGAGCCTTGAGGCTCCTGTTGTCGTTGCTCTGTATCTCCCCCCCTGCCTGTCCTTCTTTCCCGCTTCGCCCCCCTTCTCGTGATTATTGTCCCCGTTCTCCCTCGCTCTCTCTCTCTCTCTCTCTCTCTCTCTCCCTCTCCATCGTTTCTTCTCTGGCGAGCTACCTGGTGTGGTCTGACACTGCCCTTGGAGCAGCAGCTCGCTGCCCGCAGGCTTCATCGCACTCGGATGTGCGTCCGTGGCAGCGTTGCCCTCCCCCGCCCCGGGTCCTCCCCTTCGTGGGCTTACCCTGCCGCTCCAGTGCCGCTCTGCGTGCGCAGGCCGCAGGCGTTCTGCCTGCCAGCTCTCCTGCGCCGCAGTGCGGACGCGCGCGCGCGCGAACAGCGGGGCAGCGGAAGACTCGAGTGAGCCATAACTCGGGTTGCCGACGTTTTTTTTTGTGGGCGTGCCCTGGGTTTTGACGGTCCTCTTTTTTTCGTCGTTTTCATGATGGACCCGTCAGGCCAACCCGAGTCCCCCGTACCCGAGTCTTCCGTCTCCCCGAGCATACAGAACGCCATCCCCCCCCCCAGAGAATTCGTCCTGCGGCCGAGCGGACCACGCTGAGCTCAGCGGCGCTGTCCGCTGCCACGCCGCCTTCGCGGCGGACAGCCGGGCGCCTGCCCGAAGCGGCCTCGATGTCTCCGCTGTCTCCGATGCTCTTGGTCGGCGCCAGCATGCCGCATGGGCTGCTCACACCGCCCGAGAGAGAGCATCCGTCACGAGCTCTGCACGCACAGCGCCCCCCGCCCCCCCCCCCTGAGGCGCCGACGGCCACCCCGTTGCCAGGCGCGGCGCACAGTCAACCCGCACAGCAAGGATGGGCAACCTTCAAGTCAGGAGCGAAAGAAGGACGTACACGTACATGAATCCACGCTGGTTTCGAGAGTTTGCATTGCGCGAATGTTCGCGTCACGCGGCTGGTCTCACGTTTCAAGGGACCGTGTTCATGTACATAGCTGGGCGCGTACGTCCTTTGTGGGCTCCTCATCCAGAGGGTACCCCTCGCATCCTTGCCTTCTCGGCCCATCTTTGACCGCTTTCGCTGGCCCCGTCCCGCTCGCAAAGTGTCGACGTGGCCTTCGAAAGCCCCTTGCATCCCTACCGCGCATGAGACGGGTTGGCGGTACAGGTTGCCGTGCCGTCTGGCACGTGGGCGACCCCCCAAAACGGGGCCGTCTGCGCAGACATTGGCGCGTAAGCTGCCCGCGTAAGGTCGCGCGTAAAAGTGCCGTCGTCTCCAATGTAGCGTGCCGCGCTGGCGGCCCGCGTAAGCCGCCGCGTAAGGTCTCTGTGTCATCTCGCGTAAGACTCGTTTTTGATCGTCGCTCACGTGGGTACGGTGAGGGCGTTCGTTAAGGATTGTGCCCAGGAGGCTTTGGACCCTGGAGGGTTCGTTATCTGATGAGGGCGGCGATGATATCCATGGCCGATCCATGATTCGAGTTCCACCAGCTTCCAGACCCTGGATTCCTTATCTAAAGGTTCCTTATCCAATGCCCCCACCATCCGTAGCCATCTTGGCTCAAACCAGGTTCTGGTGTCAATGGCTTCGGGGGGGCGCGCGGCGCGGCCCGTGCGGGAGGCGGAGGCCGAGTCGCGACGGGCGTCCGCTGCTCGGCGCGCCGCTCGGCGTCGCGGGCAGATCGCCTGCGAGCGCGGCCTTTGGAGAGCTCTCCACGGCAAGCCTTGCGGCCCGCTGAGGGAAGGCGCCCTGGCCGACCTCTAGGCGGAGGTGGCCAGGCGCGAGCGCCTCTCCCGCATCTTGGGCGAGCAGACCGCCTACGAGGCACGCCTCGTGCGGAATTGCGCCCAGCACGCGCGGACGCTGCCAGGAGCTGAAGCGGGTTGGGCGGAGTGGCGAGCTGCGCAGCATGGCCCGCGGCTCGGGCCAGGAGGGCCAGCACCCGCGCGGCGTGCGCCTTGCGCGCCTTCTGGAGAGCGAGCGCCGACCCCCGCAGCCCTGGTCCTCGAGCAGGTGCAGCCCCACGCCCCTGGGACTTGGCTCGAGCGCGACCAGGTGTCGGAGGGCCGCGCCCTTGCGTTCGGGCAGGGCCTGGAGGCTGGCTGGAGGCTGGCCGAGCTCCAGGCTCGCGTGCAGGGGTTGGCGGAGCAGCAGGACGGAGCCGAGGTAAAGACCGCCGCGGGGTCGGAGCTCGAGGAGTCGCTCGCGGAGTCTGAGGGCGTGACCGCGGAGCTGCTGGCGCCCGTGACGACGACGCCCGCGGTTCGGCGCGGCGGGTCGGAGGCTGGGGGCGTCGCCGACGGCGCGCCGTCGAACCCTGCTTCCACACGCGGCCCCATCGCCCACGCCGGTGACTCGGATGAGCCGCTTGTCGGGCTTGGCGTGGCGACGAGCGACGACGCGATGACCACGGCGTGCTCGGACGTGTTCGCCTACCCGTAGGAGCAGGAGGACGACGCTACTGGCCCTGCGGCGAAGGCCATGGGCGCAAGGAGGCCGAGATCGCCTGCGCATCGGATGGGCTGCAGGAGCCCCTGGATCAGGCGGTGTTCGCCGAGCAGGGGCCGCAGGAGACCGAGCGGTCTGTCCAGGTCGTCTTGAATTGGCAGCTGGGGTTCATTCGGAAGCCTGCGGCCGACTACCACGCGGAGCTCGTGCGCGGGGTCTCAGCGTTTCGCCTCAGCTCGCAGGGCCTCGAAGCGATCGAGGCGCTCTCGCTGGAAGGTGAGGCGGAGATCATTGCGCAGATGGAGGAAGCTGGTGAAGTGGAGGACTCGCTCTTGGACCTTATGAGTCCCGACGAGGGCGAGGCAGTCGTGCTCCTCGACGCGCTGGGCGTGCCCGACGGCGCTGGCCGAGGCGAGCAGGAGTGCGACGAGGAGCTTGAGTCAGCGAAGCAGGAGCTGGTGCGCGCCATGGAGTCTCGGCGCCTGAGGTGGATCCGCCGCCGGGTGGCAGCGATTGCGAGCACGAGGACGAGGCCACGTCGGAGCCGTTGAACGTCGCGCGGGCGGCTGGCGCGCGCGGCGACTGTGAGAACGCAGGCGGTGGACCCCAGGCCGAAGGCCAACGGTGGGCGCGGAGGTAATCGCCGCCTTGGGGGCTGGGGGTCCCGCCTGCGGGCCGTGCAAGCACTGACTACGCGGTCGCGAATTTATGCATGCACGGGTTTCGGCGTTCGAAGAGCTGAAAAAAATGTCCCCGCCGCACTTGCGCGCCGCGCCTGTCCCTTGGAGAACGAAGAGGTGTGCAGCTAAAGCTGCAGATTTTGACGGCCGCGGTTGCTACTGCAGAAGATGCCGGGTGTTCCTTGGGTCCTTCCACGGGTCTTCCTTTTCAAGGCGGGCATGCCCCTCTACAGGAGGAATATTCGAAAATAGTAACAAGTAGGCGGGTGATGAGTTTCGACTATGTTTGACTATTCTTGAGTTTTGTTACATATTCCTTATTTTCTGTCCAAAATCCGCATGTGGGAGGACGTGCCCGTCCTAACCGCACCCGTGACGTCATGAGTTTCCACGACGGGGACCCCCAGAGGTCTGGGCCCCATCCAGGAGACCAGCCTTTCGCTTGCCGATCGCAGGTTCTTGACGGCCCTGGAGACCAGCACCCCCCCGAAGGCCAGACACGGCCAAAGCCTCCTGTCGCGATGTATTTGCGCGCTGGAAGGTCAGGGACCCAGACCCCCGACGTCGTGATTTCTCCAACCTCGACCCCAGAGGGAGGTCCCGACCCCTTCCCCGGGACTGGTTTTTCTTCCCTGGTCGATTTTTTAATGGCCCGGGGGCCCGCTGAGGGCCCCCGGGAGGCCGAACAGAGCCCAACGCCTCCGTCGAGATTCTCTCCCCGCGCGAGGGGGTCTGGGTGGCATCGGCGCGCGCGCCCTCCCGAGGGGTGCAGATGATGCCCCGCGCCGCGCGCGGCCTCGTGGCCGGTGCTGGCGGAGCTCCATCGGTGGCCCGGGGATCGTCGTGGTCGCTGCGCCGTGGGGCGCGGCCGACCCGCCGGGGGGGCGGCCGCGCGCCTCGGCCGGGCGGGCCGCGCCTCGGCCAGGCAGGGGGCGCGCCTCGGCCGCGCCGGGGGGCGGCCGCGCCTCGGCCAGGCAGGGGGCCTCCGCGAGAGTGTCCGGGAGGTGCCTCGGCATCGCTGGGACGTGTGCTGCTAGGGGCCCCCAGGCCCCCTCGCGCGGCGACAAACATCGCGACGGGAGGCGTTGCTATATGTTTTCGGCCTCTGGGAGCCCTCACGGGGCCTCGGGACCGTCAGACAACGACTCGGGAGGAGAATCCGGTCCCGGGGAAGGGGTCCAGACCTCTGGGGGTCGACGCGGTGAAGAAATCACGACGTCGGGGGTCTGGGACTGGCGGGGGTCCCGAGGGACCGCGGGGCGTGGCTCGTTTGCTGGCCCGTTGCTGCCAGCGCTGCTGGTCGATAAAGTGTTCAAGGTTGATCTCTGCCCTTGCTACCTATCTGCCGCGGCCAGTTGGCGCGGCACGGATAGGCCGCGGACGGTACGGTCTCGTCCGGTACGGTCCCCGGCGAGGACCATCGAGGAGCATCTTTGATCATCGAGCCTACACAGCGCGCACGAAGCCGAAAAATGCACGGGGAATGGATGTCCGAGCGATGGCGAGGTGTCGCGTCGGCCAAGAGGTCGGCCATGAAGGAAAGCGCTCCTGAGGGAAACGCTTCCCGGGTGTTTGTTCTTGTTGTTTTCCCCCCAGGGCCCTCCCTGGACCCCAGGGCTGCCCAAAAAGAGCCCAGGATGAAACACAAACAAATCCGTCGGAGAGCCCCTTGGGTCCAGGACCCGTTGCCCCCAGGACCCGTTTCTTTCATCCCAGTAGTAGCCCACATGTAGTCACGGAGGAATGCAGGCCGTCGAATGGGGTCGAAGCGGATGGGGTTGGCGGGTCGCGGCGCATCGCCGATGCATCGGCGACGTTGGCTCGAGGATCCGGGGCACGATTTCGCCCACGCCGACCTCGCCGATGCATCGCCGACGTCGCGGATGCATCGGCGAGGCGGCGTGATTTTCCGACTCCCCCCCCCCTTGTCTAAAACGAGACCATTTGGGCGGCCTCCACCGGGGGGGTCCTCAGGAGGGGAGACAAGACACACTTCATCGCCGATCCCCTTGGAAATATGGGAAACTATGGGAAGAGGGGGGAAACCGAAACTTCAGGAAATATGGGAAATCTGTAGAGTCCTAAGATGTGCTTTTTTACGTATTTGTGTGACCCTCCTGTGCCCCTGTAGGTCCCGCGGAAGATGGATCCCGGAGGTCGCCCGCCGCTTTCGGGCTCCTGGGGCCCTCCACGAGACCAGGGACCACGTTGATGTGTTCATTTTCCACCACCATTACCATGGTAGGAGGGGGGAGATCCTCCTCCTCGTCCTCCTCGTCCTCCTCCTCCTCCTTCTCGCCCTCCTCCTCCTCCTCCTCCTCCTCCTCCTCCTCCTCCTCCTCCTCCTCCTCCTCCCCTCCTCATTCTCCCCCTCCTCATTCTCCCCCTCCTCCCTCTCCTACCTATGGTAGCGGTGGTGGAACATCGGCCCATCAACCGCCAGAGAACGCCTCAGGACGAGGGGCTGGTCCTGGGGGGAGCCCCGCAGCCCAGGGAAGCCCGAGGGCTCGGGCCTCCTTCCCTCGGGACTCCGCTTCCTTCGCGGCGGATGGGCTGCTCGGGGTGCTGCGCCGGCCAGGGAGGAGCCGGCTGAGCCCGACGCGGGGAGCTGGCAAGGTCCTCGCAGCTTTAGCCCTGTGAGGCGCCGAGTCAGTGGCAGCTCGGTCGTCTCGAATTTCCCGAGGCAGGGAGCATTCAGATGTCCTTCTAAACGGAATGGCCGTCCTCGGCCCGTCGTCCCCATCTCAGCCACCAGTGTCCACTGTACAGCGCACGGTGCCGTGCGGCCTCCACCTCTGATTCTGCCAGCGACGCAGGCAGGCGTCACGTGTGCCGGGGGATGCCGGCATCCTTCAGTGGTAGTGCATGCAGCACCTTGCCTGATCTCTGGCTCGCAGCCCGCCCTCTGAGTCAGAGGCCGTGCATTCGAGGCCGCCTCGACAGGGCGCTCGAATACCCCCCCCCAGACGGGACGCTGGTATTGTCGTCATGGGCATCGCTGATTATTTATCTGGCGATACACTCCCCATATTTCAGCGTCGAACGGACCGCTCACCACTCCAGAAGTCCGGGAAGCGCTCGCCTGTACAGAATTCGCATCAGATGCATTGCCATGCATAATTTCCCTCCTCTCTTTCCCGCAGAGAGATAGGGAGAGAGAGAGGAACAAACAAACAAAGAGACACTGAAAGAAAGACAACGCGCAAACAAGAAAAACATATACAGGTAAGCATACTTAAGTTACTTAATTATCAATCGTTCAGGTTGTTGTTGAAACGTTGGAACTCGGGCGACTTCGACCCCATGATAAGACGCGGTGTGCCGTCGCAGGTGGCTCTCTGCTGGACCAGGGGCTCGAGCGAGGCGTCCAGGGCCTAAGGTTGCGAAATCAAGCGCTTCGTGCGATATGAGAAATATGCACACAGCAAGCATGGTAGACAGCGGACACACAATATAAAGAGAGATGCTACATGAACACTCATAGTACAGAGGTGTGTAATCTACAGGCAACATGTGTACATGTAATGATAGGGGGAGAGAGAGATAGAGAGGAAGGGAGAGAGAGAGAGAGATAATGACATAGAAGAGAGAACGGATAGATGTCAGGTATGAGGGATGGGAGGGTTCGGGAGATGTGCGCCACCTTCATGTATGTATGTATGCATCCATGCATATATATATATATATATATATATATATATATGTTTACTCATATTTCGGAAGGCACATATATACAGAGAGAGAGGGGGAGAGCGAACACACAAAACAAGCCTACCACAGCTCTTCCACAACGATAGCTGCACACATCTATATGTATATAAACAAAAATGTATCTACATGTGTAGATACTTGCATGAAGAAAAGAGAGAGAGAGAGAGAGAGAGAGAGAGAGAGAGAAAAAAAAACAGAGAGAGAGAGAGAGGAACAGAGAGAGAGAGAGAGAGAGAAAGAGAGAGAGAGAGAGAAACACAAAGAGAGAAGCACACATAAACAAACAACCCGTAGACAGAGAGGGAGAGAGGTAAAGCAACAAGAGACTTCCGCCCATGCCTTAGGGGAGGGCCGCCACTAGGCGGGCCACCACCTCGTAATGGAAGTCAAAGGTCGATGAGGAGGGAGGGTCGAGGAGGTTTTGGACGTTCCGGGCGTCGTATCTGGGAGTCCTGGGGGTCCTGGGGGGCCCCGGCAGGTCCGCTTCCTGGAGGAGATGGCGAACCCCCGCCCCCCCGCTGGCGGTCAGCCCCGTCGGCATTTCCTGGCGCATCCCCTGCCCCGCCCGCCCCGTTCCCTGAGATCCGACGCTGCAAAAGGAAACTGCGCTGCTCATTGAAGGCGCATCTTGCCTTCAGCGATCCCAGACCCTCTCGCGTTGTGAACAAAAATCACGACGGGAGGTTTTTCGCTATTTTCAGCTTCCGGGGGCCCTCACCAGGCCTCGGGACCGTCAGAAAACGATTTGGGATCAGAAACCGGTCCCGGGGAAGGGGTCCAGACCTTTGGGGGTCGGAGTTTTGAAACAAATCGCGACGTCGGGGGTCTGGGATCCCCGCTCATTGTAGGCAACATGTCCATTCTTGCATCCGGTGAGCTCAGACTGCCTGCAGTGGGAAGCTTGCTGCCTTCGGTGAAGCTTTCGCCGTGAGTCTGATCTTCCTGCATTGCTCGAGCCCTATCGATCTGGGATTGGCCCAGGGCCAGAGGCCAGTCGAAAGCCTCCGGTGTGGAACGTCGGCAACGACCCGGTCTCGGGGGTTCTCCCCCTCGAGACCAGTGGCGGGTCCTCGAGGGGAAGCGCTCGGGTCGGGGACCCGCCGTCCGGGCAGCCGTCCTGTTGGGACGGGGCACTCTCCGCGCTGAGCAGGCAGGCCTCCCCGAGTGTCCACGCAGCTGGCGCGGCGTGGCCTCCTCGTTTGGAGTTGGCTGAGGCTTGCAGGCTCGCGGTGTGAGCTTGCGTCATCACCCGTCCCATGGGTTGTGGAGGACGATCAATGGAGAGGAAGCACGTTGTCAAATCATTTCCAGATGTCTAAGACATGATTTAAACATGTTTTAGACATGTGTTAATCATGTTGTTATTCTGATAATAACATGTTCCCTACATTTTTAACCCATTAAAAGCTCAATGATAGGACTGTTAGGGTGTCCATTCTCGTGGCATCCACAACTCAAGGGTGCCACGGCTCACCATGGCTCTGTGGCGGCCGAGGCGGGCGTGTTCGGCGGGCAGTTTTCTCAGGGCCTTGGGCTTGGCCATCGACCTGCGCCCCCAGCGTGTCCGGGGGGCCACCGCCTCACGAGTGAGCAGCTGCGCTCGGGCCTCCCCCCTCCCCTCGAAGTCTGCCGTCGCCAAGAGACTGCAGGCGGCCGGGTGCTCTGAAGAGCGTCTGCCGCCTGGGGGGGCCCCCTGCTGGGCCCGAAGAGGAGGCCGTCAAGGAACGGCTCAGGGCGGAAGGCCCGTCCCCGGGAAGGGGCCCAGGCTGCTGGGGAGCCATGGCGCGGAGCAGGGCCACGACGGTCGGGTGTTTGGGACCCGAGCGGTCCCCGCCGCGCGGGCGCGCTCGCCCCCCCCTCTCGACCCCGGTGCCGCGGCCGCCTCTCGCCTCCCGCTTCCTCTGCTCTTGCACCCGGGACGATGCGCACTGCCGTCCCCCGGCCTGCCGAGCGCGCGTGCGGACCGGCTCTGCCGCGCCGCGGCGTAAGAAGTGCTTCGGGCCTCAGGGACGCGCAGCTGCAGTCGGACCTCCCCTCCGGAGGACCAAGCTGGTGCAGAAGCGGCTTCTGTCCAACGTGTGCCGGTACCGGGGCTACGTCCTGGAGGGCTACCCCGAGAGCTACGAAGAGGAGGGGGGCGGCAAGACTGGGGAGAGTAGGTGCAGAGTACGGTGGCGAAGGCACCCTCGTAATCTTGCTTAGGACGAGGAGCTCTAAGTGCACGAGGTCGACCGAGATGAAATAAGAACACGAGGAATAATATTAAGAAGATCAATAAGAATAATAATAATAATAATGAGAAGAAGAATAAGAGGAGGAGGATGATGATGATGAGGAGGAGGAGGAAGAGTAATAAGTATAAACATAAGAAGAAGAGGAATATTAATATTCATAAGAGGAAACATAATACGAATAACAAATAATAATAAGAAGAAGAAGAGGAGGAAGAGGAGGAGGAGGAGGAGGAGGAGGAGGGGGAGGAGCAGGAGGAGCTGCAGAAGCAGGTCCTCAAGCAGTACTCGACGGACCCCCCACAGGGCCCACCAGCCGTCATGAGGCACCGGGGGGGCGAGGGCCGCATGTGCGTGGGCACGGCGCACGGCCTGGACGGGGCCACCCCCGTGGGGCCAGGAGTGGGGTGCGCACCACGCGGCGGCGACGCGCGGCTGGCTGGAGCGCGATCGCTCGGAGGCCCTGCGCGAGCTGAGACGCGGCCGTGGCCTCCACGCCGGCCGAGGCCGCCGCGGGCCCAGTGCCGGGGCCTCCCGTACGCCTGTGCGGACGCTGGTCGGCCTGGCCAGCTCGAGCCTTCGGCTGGGTCCGGCCGCGCCGGCCCCACGTGGATCACAGCGAGTACGTACAGGGTCCTCGCGCCGTGCTCCGCGGAGGGGGCCGCCTCCCGGAGGAGCTGCATGTGGGCCATGGGCGCCGGCGCCCAGCGACGGAGGCGGGGCCCGGGCCCGGAGACCTCCCAGGAGGCGGCGGGGAGCAGCTTGGTCCCCGGGGCCCGCCCGCCGCGGCCCGCAATCTCTGTGCCCGCTGGGGCAGGCCCGTCGCGGGGGTCTTCGCGGGCGAAGCAGGCCTCTGACAGCCAGGATCCCGCGGGCCCTCCTCCTGCGCCGGAATGGGATGGGCGGTCTGGCTGTCCACCACTATGCCTGTACGGCCGCGTCCATGCGCACCCCCAGCACGCGGAGGCCAGGCGGGTCTTCGGGCAAGCAGAGGAGGCCAGTGCTCCTGGGCACAGCAGGCCAAACGGCTTCTGACCCCCGGGGCGGGAGCCGAAGCCCGCGCCAAGTACCGCAGTCAGGTGCTGCAGCGGCGCACGCCCAGGAGTCGGCCGGGCTTGCAACACCGGCGCAGGAGGAGGCGTTAGGCCGCGCGGGTGCCGCACGGCGCTGGAGCGCAGCGCGGGTGGGGCCACGCTGCAGGACGCTTGCGCGTGGACCCGCCTTGCCCTGCGATGCGCATTTGCGCGTGACGCCGTGGGCGTGGCCGCATGCCGCTTCTGCGGCCGGTCGCAGGGGACCTTGGCCGCGCGGACGCGTTGCTCCACCGCCAGCCGCGACATGGGGCCGCGGGCCAAGCCGCTGGGCTCACGCCGCATGAGGCGCGCCGTTGAGAGGCGGCGCTGCGGGCGGCGGCTTGGGCCTGAGGCGGGAGTAACGCCTGGATTGCAGAAGGTGTCCAACGCCAGACGCAGCCCCCGGGCACCCGACCCAGCTATGGGCCTCACGCCGTGGGGGGCGCGCCCCCTGGAAACGGCGCTGCTGGCGGACGCCGCCGCGGGGGTCCAGCCCCGTCGCCGCGCCGGCGGCTTGGGGCGGCTTGGGGCGGCGCGTCCCCCCCACCCAGTCCAGCGTTTCGTGGCCCCATGGGGAGCTCCACCGAATACCCCAGTGGGGGTGCCCGCATGCGTCCGCCACACCCAGTACGGCGTTTCGTGGCCCCATAGGGAGCTCCACCGAAGGCCCCGGTGCGGGTGCCCGCATGCGTCCCACCCACCCAGCACATCGCTTCGTGGACCCATAGGGAGCTCCGCAGAAGGTCCCAACAGGGGTGCCCGCATGCGTCCGCCACATCCAGTACGGCGTTTCGTGTGCCCCAGTGGGGGTGCCCGCATGCGTCCACCCCACCCAGTACAGCGTTTCGTGGACGTACAAGGCTCCACAGAAGACGATACCTACAACTGCGGTGTTCACCAGTATTCACAACTGCATATGGTTGGGTCCGTCGCCAAGCTATTTGTTGTGGCGGAGGAAAACACACAACAAACAGAAGGCACTGCCGAGAATGGGAGCGAAGGCGAGGAAGGGCACCGCACGGATCGCGGAAGCCCATCCTGCCGGGTGCCCCCAGTCGGAGCAGGGCCCGTTGAGACAGCGGCGGTTGTCCCGCCTGGCCTCAGGTCGGGAATGTCCTCCTACAGGCGGATTTTGGAAGAAAGATCAAACATCATCTAAAGCTAATCCTGGCGAAGGACCCAACCATGGG